GGCAGGAAGGCCAGGGGAAGGTGGGAGCCATTCCTGGTGTCTGGCCAGACAAGGGGCCCAGCTCATTCCTGGCCTGGGGCCAGGCCAACCACACAAACCCAGTGGTGCAGAGCACTACCCAGTCTGCTTCAAGAAACACTAAGAAAGCTCCAGAGCATATTTGTGGGATGAGCTGAATGCAGGAAGGTTTCCAGTTCTCACGAAGAGGACAGATAGCAGAGATGTGTCTCATTTGTAAGAGGTTGGGCTGCCTTTTTCCTTTTCAGGAAATAGGAGATGAATGTAAGAGTTCAGCTTCCCCGAGGATGCTTGGGGGAGACAGAGACCGAATTCGGGACATGCTCTGACTTCTGATACAGCTTGTTTAAGCAAAGGAGCCCCCTCCCAGCCACTCATTCCTCCTCTCGTGCCACCCCTTCTATTGTGCTTGCACAAGATCTGACACAGAGATGGAGAGGGAAGCACAGCAGGGAACTGATCCAGCCAAAAACCTGCCCCACAGGGAATAGAGAAAAGCCCGTTGTTTGATTCAGCTCATTGTGCAGCTACAGAGGTACGTGCTTTGTGACAATGGAGAGGGTGGCACAGGGGAGAGGAGAGCTGAAACTAATGGGGAGAAGTAAAGGGCTGCCAGGGCTCAAGGTGGCACAGCCTCCAGGAGCAAATCTGTGTCCTCACCAATAGCTCTGAGACTCTTGAGGGTTTAGCACTAGAGTATTCAAATACAATCGTGCAGTCAAACTATTCACTTTTATAACAATGTATTTTTAATACATTCTCCAGGGCAATATATTTTCTGTCTACAGCTTTGAATAAAAAAATATGCTGAATTAGATGTTGTACACCAACTGAAAGTATTACATAAAGAAATACCCTAATTAAAGCGTAAATTCTTAGAATTCCATGATACTCTATTTATTGAAATCAAGATTTCTCCACAGACCTGTTGGCTACAAATATCATTATACACAAATGTAAATACTCTTTGAACTAGCAAGTCAGCAGAAACATTTACAAGTATATATATATTAACATTTTAAACATCTCCTCTAAAACTGAAAAAGAAACTCAATAGCTTTTGCGGTATTTTAAAGCTCATACCGGGTCTTCATGAATTCCCTTTTTTTAACTTTCAGTAAATCTTGAAAGCTAAGAGCTAGGCTGACCACTTATAAATTCTCAGGATTGCAGCCCCGTAGCACTGCCAAAATGAGAAAAACAACAGAACACAGAGAGGTCCTCCAAAAATAAGAATAGCATATCACTTAAAAATATAACTTATGGCATCCAGCAAATCTTTTTCTTTCTGGCTATGCCGTGTACAATGCTTACACCTCCAGTTTAAAAGATCCTTAAGTGCTTTTACACACTAACATTCACTAAAAGGAGACAGAAAGGAACAATGTTATGGCAACAGAAAAGTACAAATTAGAGGAAAAGAACTCTTAAATAAAATACTTTTGCTTCCTCTTCATGATCTTTCAAGTAACAGCAAAACTTCTAGGGTAACTGCTGTTGATTTTTTTTCATGTCTGTTTTTGTTCTGTCTCCATATTAAATCATTTTTGTACGGTAGGAGCACTGAAACACCATCATTTCACTCTCCTGCAGATGTTGTCCCATTCTGGGAAGAACACTGAGGAGCGGCCAGCCCCAGGCTGCCTCAGCACCCAGACCTTCTCCCCTTTCACAGCAGCCAAATTCCTCCTGTCACTCCAGGCCTTTTCTCTAACAGTCCCATGCTGTTCCCCTGCACGCTTTTACACGCCATCTCAAATACTCATCTATTTAAATACCCATCTACTCGCAAGCCAGCCTGACTTGTTTATGTTCTCCCATACTCCCCTTGATCACTTCTCAGGCTACTTCAGTCATTCTAATGTTTTCTGCCTACATGTAAGTAGATCCACTTTTAAGCTTCCCTGCAGTGCAATTCATGCTCTTGGTGAGCCTTAGAATGGACTTTCATACATGTGAACTGCAAGGCACTGGGTTTTGTTTCCCTAGAACAGGAAGAAACATCAATTCAAGTGCAGTTGGAAAGGTTTAACAAACTTTACTTTGAAAGGCTACTACAACACAGCTTATAATTGAAAAACAGAAGTATTCAGGGTGTTTATAAAGTTAGATAGTACAAGTAAATACCATCATTCCCAGTTTTTCCATTTAACTTCTGTAGTCGACAGGTCTACTTACACTAGAAAGTCACATTTTCAAAGAAACATTTTTGGGTCAAGTTCAGACCAATAGGCTCTAAACAAGGGCTCCTGATCCTGAGCAGGAGGCTCTATAAATCACCCTTAGCCCTTCAGTGAATTCAAGACTGATCCCTTACATGGCAGAGGTCACCTGCTGCTTTTCAACAAGGGCATTAATCTGGGCCGTGTCCCCGCAGCCCTGCGGGGCCGGCCGTGCTTGGTACGCACCCCGCGTCCTGAGCTCCCCAGCCAAGCTGAGTCATCCTCCCTCTGCTCGCACAGCCGGGACATTTTACCCACTCCTCCAGCCACCCCCTCCATGCCACCTTTGGGATTTGCTTCCCACTGCACAGCTCTAATCCTGCCTGCCTGCCTGCCTTTGCCACTCCCTCCCATTTAGGATCTCTTCTCCCACTCTGTCTTCCCACTCCTCCAGTGCCACGAGACCCTCCTGCCAGCTCCCCCAGTGCTCTCCGGATCTCCTTCACTTCCCTGGACTGCTCTTCCCAATCCAGCTGATGCTGTGAGGGATAACCTGCATGTCAGAGAATCACTGTGTGCAGAAGATGAACCCCCCAGCTCTGGAGTGCTGGAGTGTATTCATGCCTGTGCTCTTTTGGCCCCAGTGCTGTCAAGGACTGGGCTGACTTCAGCATCATACAAGAAAACAAAGGACTGAGCAGTTAAAGCAAAACACTAAAATCCCACTAAACTGCACCCAAAGCAGCTGGTGCCTCGGAGCAGCTGCTGGCTCAGGACCAAGGGCTGGTGGGGGAGCCTTCTCCATCACTGCAGAAATGAACATGTCTGCCAACCAAGAGAAATCTTAATGCACATTTGAAACTGAATAAATGCAAGGCAACACGCTACTTTTAACAGCTGAAGTGGAGATTCTGAATTGTATATTCACTCCTCTGAATTGTCTAAAATTAAAACTCGATACCCTTCATAATCCCCAAGAAACTAGGAATGAAACTCAACTCTGACAGAAACAAGCACATGAAAGCCCTGGACTAGACCATCAACTCTTGGCTTCTATTCTCAACCCCACCACTGGCACATGAGGTGATAAAACATTTCAGCTGGAAGAGACCTGCAATGATCAACTAATCCAACTGCCTTAATTGCTGATCTACATTACTTTCCTCCTTCCATAGCTCAGCAGGAAGGAGCATTACCGCCCTCTTTGATAAAGTGAGATCTCCTGGGAGAAAGTACAACAAGGTTTTATTTTTTAATTGTTTTCTCCACAATTATGTATTAGGATCCTTTCCTCTACCCCATCACAAATCACACACTTAACAAACGTTTTGACAGCTGGTGCCTAAGAGTCAAAGCCAGTTGCTCTCTCAAAGGCCAAAGTGCCTCACTGAATTGGTGTCAGCTGGTACTTAGCAGGATTTTTAAATTCAATTAAATTAAGAGACAAGCTGCACAGATTAGGGCTCTGCTAAAATCAGAAAGAAATCTTAAAAGGCATAAAATATCTTTACATTTATTAAGCAAACTCTGCAGTCTTTTCTTGTTATATTCTTGTTGAAAAACAGAACATTCATAAAGTATCATGAAAACAAGAAGAAAAAAAACCTTAAGGTCCCAAGCAATGGGAGTATCTCCACACTCACCCTGCTTTTAACTTTCCAACACAAGCAGCAAGGCACAGTTCACAGCTAGGCTGAAAATACAGTGTTCAGTGCACATGGCCATACTGCATTCCTAGCAACCCACCATAGCCACTCCTTCTTTGTATATTAGGATAAGCAGGTTAAATATACCCAGAGAGGTACAGACAGTGAAAGAAAGGCCAACATCAGTTGAACAGCTCTGCTAGGACTTCCCATCTGGAAAACGACCACTGTGCTGGAACCCCTCGGTTATCCCGAGAGTCATTAATTCCCTTCCCCCTTGTGCACAGCAGCCCGAGCCTGCAAGGGTTAACTGAGCCTATGTGCTCTCACCCCTGGGAAGCACCTTCCAACAAAGCCAAGAAGCAGGGGACCAGGACAGCCAGCTCTGCCCCTGCAGCAGAGTCAGATCCCAAAGGATTATTTCTTGGCATTGCTGGTTTGGGTTTGGCTTGGGTTTTTTTTTTTAATTTTGAAAATCAATTTGGGGATTACAAACAATTATGCTCTTGCACATTAATCGCTGGCATCTAAAATTTTCACATGAAGAAACAACACATGGAAATATTAAAGCACTCATCTTACGGACATGGATCCGAGAACTGTTTAATAGCAGTCAGTGAAGGGGTAACATTGTGCTTTTAATCTACAGTTTAAAAATAATGATTTGTATATCTACGTAGTAAAACAATAAAATTAAGAACAGAAACTGGTATTAGGAAACAGTGAAAATGTAATAATTAAACACATGATGCTTTTCAAAGCTTTATACTTAATGAGCCTAAATAGACACCTATGGTTAGGAGGGTCTTAAAAAAATAATAAAAAAGAGACTTATTTTCAATTTTTTTTTTCCTTTTCAAATTTTTTTACTATACTTTGCTTTGGTGTTCTCTCTGCTGCCAACTTAATGCTTTAACAGTATGTTTATGCTTATGTTCTTTTCAAATGCTTGGCATTATAGTGAGATCTCATATCTTTCCTCAAATTAAATTTTGCTCCACATACTCCACATGTATACAGATGAACATCCCTGTGCTGCTCCAGTTGCTCATTATTTGGGAATATCTGAAAGCAGACCTGGCATATAGTCTCTCCAGCTGATAAGTGAGATATCATATGCCGTACATGGTCATGTTTTCGGAAGTTTCCTTGATCACAAATGGAACAGACATACCTGGCCATGCCTTTGTGCATATCATTGTGGAGCCGCAACTGGCGCTCTCTTAAGAACTGCTTCCCACATGTCTGACAAACAAACTGTTTTTCCTTGGTATGAACGGTATAGTGTTCCCGCAAGTGGCAACGCTGATAAAATCCTTTCCCGCAAAGGTTGCAGAAATGCTTACGTCTGTGATCCCTCTCGTTCTCTTCCAACATGGAGTTCTTGAACAGATCTTGCTCCAGGCAGTTGGACATATGTTCAACCACTAGGTTTTCAGTATCAAAACGCTGGCCGCAATTAGGGCATCGGAAAGGACAGGCAGAATGCTTGTATAACTGGTTTTTTTGAAGGCTGTTCATTTGGAAGTGACTGTCCCTGAAGTCCTCTAGCATCTCTGCAAACATCATGTCCCTTATTTCTGACTGCTCCTCAGGGTTTTCTTCCAAGTCCATTTTCTCCTCAGAATTTCTGATCCCGTTCATGGTCAGATCCTGGGGTTCTCCACAGGTCTGTGCATGCTCCTGTAGCTGCTTGCCTTTGACCAGTATTTGACCACACTTGCCACAAGCACATATATTTTCTATGTGTTTGGATAAATAATGAGAGGACAGATCTTCCTCAGTGATTGTTAGCCCACAAAGTTCACAGGGAGCGTTCTCCACATCTTCCTGCACTGAAGAAGCCTTGCTGTTAGGGTGCCGTGGACTTTTCAAACACTTTCTTTCATCCTCATCCATGGATAAACGAGGCTTGAGAGTCTTCCGAGCATTTCTCTTCTCTCTCATCTCTTCCTCGACGTAGTATCTGTAAAGCGGCTCCTCTTGTTCATCGTCTAAGTCATCATTGTCAGAAGACTCATTGCAGTCTTTATCTGCCACCTTGATAATATTAAAATCCTTCAGCTCGTCTGTAGGATTGTCCTCTGGCTCCACCTTGATGATAATCCTCTTCCTCTCAGAGGCTCTACTTCCTTCTTCACCTGATGTCTCAGAGGCAACAGTGCTGCTTTTTCTGCTTGTGATGTTTGACACGGGAGACGATGAATCGTCCGCAGCATGGTTCGAGTCCCCCTTGTATTTTTCTGTTTGTGTGGAAATCATTTTAGAAGTAGAGTTCTTTTCACTAAAGTCTATTTTCTCAGCACTGTAGTACCTGGCACTTTGGTAGGAATGCCTGTTGGTGCATGTTAACACGTGCTCATCCAGTAGCTTTTCACAGCTAAAACTAAACCCGCAGCTGTCGCAGGTGAAGCTCCTTCCAAACCGGCGCGAGTGTGACACGCGCTCTTTCGTGTGAGAGAATTTGGACGTGGTGCTTTTTTTGCAGACATCAAACAGTTGCTCAGGGAAGCTGTTGAGGTGCAAAGCTTCTTCCTCAGGCTCTTTGTTATGGGATGTATTCACCGTTGAACTTGGTGGCTCCATGCCCCACCTGTTTGCTTCACTGCCACTTCTAGCAAGTGCATCTTCATACATTCTCACACCAAATATCATTTTATTAGTCTGGGTGCTAGAAGCAGGAGATGAACATTTTAAACTAGATGAGTCTGTGTCCTGTATATCTTCTAGACACTCAGGTACGTTATAGAGCTGTAAATAGTTCATGGCCACTTTAAATTGCTCGAAATTGGCAGGGGCTGTCATAATTTTTCCTAAATACATGAATTGTAAAATAAGATCAAAGCATTCAGCACTAATCTTCATGTTGCTTAGATTCAGCTGAGCTGTAGTGTTTTGATGGTTCATAAAAAACATCCTAAAATAGGCGCTGCAGGCAGCAAGGACTGCTTTATGTGCTTGAAAATAAATATCATCGATAGCGATGCAGCAGTCGCACAGAAAGCCCCACTCTCTTTGCTTGTTTAGCTGCTGAAGGACATAGTTGCTATGGCTGGTTTTTGCCATCTTGTACTTCGATTACAGCCCTGCATAAAGAAAAAGGTATCTGTTAAATCACGAGCACAAAACCCAAAGCCTACTTCAACGTAGGGAGGAACTACCATCTCTCTTCTCTCTAGATCTTCCTATTCTGACAGTCTGCAGCACAGCTTCCTGTCTGGATATCTCTGCTGGTAACTACTTACGAATATTGATGCCAGTGAAAACATCCATAATTTCATGTGCTCACCACTAGACTTACAAGGCTAGTAAACTAATCAACATAACCAGCACACATGTCAGAGTTGCTAGAATATAAATTAGCAAATACATCTCCAAGTCCTACAGCCAAGGTTTTCATATATGAATTCTGAATGCAGAACTTCAAAAACTTCACAGGGCAGACTTCTGTAAGATGGCCCCAGGACAACACCTATACAAGGTAAGCTGGCTGTCAGAAACCACTCTTCAGTCTCAACTTGCCTTTTTACCTGTGAGTCCAACGGGCACATGACGCAACACACACTGGAAACTAGGCCAGGCTCAAACTGGTCTTTCCCTCCCCATTAAAAAAAATTAAGAGACAACAGAGCACCCACGCAAGCTACTCCACACATTTTGCTCCTTGTGGCAGCTGAGGGACCATCTCAACCTTCTCTGCAAGGCGTCCTGCAAACCAGGAACTGCGAACTCCAACGCCTTCTCAGAAGCAGAGGGCAGCCCGGCTGCGGTGGCACGTCCCACGTTCGAGCCCAGAGCTGCAGATGGTGACCAGGCGAGCTGCGTGACAGCCACAGGGACTGCAGAGGCAGGAAGTGGTGCACGCCGTGCCTCCAACTGCTCTCAAAACCACTCGTTCAGAGCGCCGAGATGTAACCAGAACACGTAGATGGGAAACCGGACAAAGAAAAACTCAGCAATGGAGAACTGAGAGAGCCAGCGAGCCAGAGGTGGAGCCACGGTGAAATGAAGCCCTGGCAAAGACTGGTCTGCCAGTGCTGAGGGTTGCTCTAAGTGGAAGGACTAACTCATCCCCGAGAAAAGAGGAAAAAAAACATCATGGTTCATGTTAACAAAAATTATCCAGAAGAAAATGCACTGTATACAGGATGTGTGTGTTTGAATAAAGACAAACTCCCCAAGTGTGGTCAACACCTAGTCACAACTCACTTTGGAAAACCTTTACTGATATACATAAGCTGTTCTAACTGCACAGGCTGAGGGGGTGAGGAACCAGAAGAGGGTATAGAGAACACCCTATTTGAAATGAAAAACATAAAGCAGTAATGAGGATTCTTAACATTTTGAAAGGTTATTGCAAACAATGCAAATAACTGTAAAAGGTTTGTGCAAATAAAGTACAACTAATATATACTAAAGGGCATTTTATGACTCAATGAAATGCATGGATTGATTTGCAACCACTCTTTCAACTGCCCAAAATTTAATAAACACAATACACACACAAATGCTCCATTTTTCTTATTATTTTCCTAATAGCTTACATCTCCTAGGGGGAAAAATGGGTAGAGAAATTAAATTCCACAATTAGTGTTGAATTTGCAAGTCATAGGCGTTGCCTGGCTTGTTAAGCAGCAAACCTAGAATTAAGTCCCCGTTCTTCATTGCACAAAGGACTGCCACAGCAGTAAGGCTCCCAAGTTCTCGAGAAAAGAAAATGCTCACCCCACCCAGCAATACTCCCTACTGCCAACTCACACAGCAATTCCTATGGATCACCCAGCACAAGATCTTGTCTGGCAACAGGAACCCTGAGATTTGGGTTGAACTACAGTGACAATGAGCATCTGAATGGCAGCTGCTCCATTCCTCTCAACCCAACCCTCCACACCCAGAACTCCAGGCTAGCACCCTGCCATAGTAATTCTCAGATTGGTTTGGCCCAGTGATGTCCACTGAAGATATACAACTCCTTGCATGGAATTAATCTCTTTTTGTACTAACTTTCAGGGCAGTGGCTCTGAAAGTAGGAGAACCTCTGAAACAACTCCACATCTTTTCAACATAAACTGATTATCATCTGTGTCACTGGGTGATTTCAGATGTTTCTGTGAAGAACAGTAAGGCTCTTGACATCAAGTAATAATAAAAGTGCACTTCATATTCTTCCAAGTGGTAACGTGTTTTGGATTTGAGGCAATTCATTAGATGCTTAAATGTAACTTAATCTATTGTATTAAGAATGGCAGCTGCATAATGATAAAGAATTAACTGCAACTTCCACATTCTAAGAGTGAAAACCAATGAGAAAATTAGATGATGCCACTGATGCACCACTGGCCTCTTGGTGTGAGCTGCCAACACAACAAGAAAAGGCTCAGGACAGCTCATGTTAACTTCCCCATCTTCATAAAGTGGGAAGTTCAAAACGTTTTATTTAATTGTGGTTTTTTTACACTAGATATACTCCACTGTGTCCTCCAATAGAAAAACAGCAATACAAACAGTTAGCCTGTACAAAACAGGTGGTCACAAATTTTCTGCAGGCACCTGCAGATGGGGTCGTTTCCAGCTGGTGGGAACAACGAGTGACAGCACACAAACTCGCCTTTTTCAAGTCTTCCTCTTTGAAAATGGTAAAAGGTATTTCTCCTTTTGCCAGATGAACTCCTGTAAAGCTTTCAGCACGTGGATCCTGACGTGCAACAATGACCTCCTGGCACTGACCCACTCAGGCAAAAAAAGGTGGAGCATGAAGCTGCTCGAGCAGGAGGGCAAGGTTTTGGATTTGACATGTACTTGGTCTCGACCACAGTAGTACTACATGTAGGTATTAAAACAGAGTGTATGAGGTTATTTATATTAATGAAAGTCCTGGCATCCTCCCTCTGGATGCTGTATGAACCTGCTGGATGTAACTTCCCACCACAAGAGCCTGTGTCAGGCTATTTAAAACTTTGACACATTTCAACCAGCAACAGCACAGCTTTCCTTCTGAAACCTTGGACTGATTACTTTTTTTTCCCTCCTCCACAGAAAAGCTCAGCCAAAATGGTTCCAAAAATGAGGCTAAGAAAAATTTTTCATGTATGAAGATTATTATTTTTTTTCATTTAGAAATTAAAAGTTTCTCTTCCAAAATCTTTGAGGAGCCACTTTATGTGGGAGAAAGTGTTATGTCTTAGATATGTTGTCACGATATAAAAATCTGCCTGAATTTTGACAAACTATATGCTTCAGGGGGATAAGATACAAATTATCAGTTTATTCCCACTTAAGACTTTTGTTAGTTATTGAAAATTCAGATTACAGCCTGGCAGAGAACATTTCATCCTCTTGCAGCTGCTTAGTAAACAAGGGCCTGCCTGAGCCATCCACAGTGAAACCCCCTTTTGCACAGAGCTCTGCCATGGTTTTAAACTACAAAAGGGTTGATTCAGATAGAGGGAAGAAATTTTTTATTATGAGGGTGTTGAGACCCTGGCACAAGTTGCCAGGAGAGGTGGTGGATGCCTCATGCCTAGAAATACTCAAGGCCAGGCTGGACTGGGCTCTGAGCAGCCTGATTTTGTTGAAATCCCTGCTCATTGCAGGGGGATTGGACTAGATGGCATTTAAAGATCCCTTCCAACCCAAACCATTCCATGATTCTTTGTGCCACCTCCAAAATGTCACAGCTGACAGCAAAGCCTCCTGGAGACTGCTCCACAGCACGACTCTCCACGAGGTCTCAGCTTACTTGTGGTAGCTGATGGAGAAGATGCCCAGTTCTGACAGAGGGAGAGCCAGAGCCAGGAGGGGATGCAGGGAAAACACAGGGAGATTGGGAAATGCAAGAAGGATGTGATGGAAAACCTCTGAAAATCTGGAGAGAAGGAAAGCGCAGGCTGGGAGCACGGTGCTGTGCCAAGAGAAGGGATTAGGATGCAGCAGTGGGAATTAAAAGTGGGTGCAATGAGGGTCTAAACATTGGAGGGAAGAAGCCACTTGGGCAAGGGGCTGGGAAAAGCCAGGCTGCAGGGCCAAGGGCAGAAGGGGTAAAAAACACAGACAAGCTCTTTCCAGGGAGTAGGTGGAAAACAATTGCAGCATTCATGCATTCAGAGCAGGAACCCCAAATTGCCAATCCTGCCATCCCTTTGCCATTAACAAGCATGACAGGCTTGCTGACAAACTCCTTCCCAACAAGAGCAAGCTCTCAGAAAATGGGAATTTATCATTACTTTGTTACTTTAATTGCTAAAATGGCAGCAATATGCATTTATCACTCATGTGGGTGGATCAATACTGCAAACTATTTTTGAAGTTTGCTTTAGGGAAAAAAATGAGCTATTAGAATGAAAACAGGTCTTTTTACAGAACATTCAAGGTATATACATATATTATGTACGTATCAAAGTATATTCTTCCATCCCTCTTACCAAAATTTCCCTTACTCAGCACATCCTCTGGATCTGTCCAAGCCTGGATCTGAGCACTACAAGACAATCCCTGCTCATTTGGCCAAGCATTTGGAGGATGTGAAGTGAATGGGAAGTGTGGGACAAAAAGAAGAATCTCACAGCAATGAACACTGCTTGGAGAACATCATCCCATTGCTGTCAATGCCAGGACAAGTAATTTCAACCTTTCTGGTTTGGTTGTTTTTCATAAGCCTGGCTTGCATTCTTTGGATGTCCAATTTATCACACAGGTAAACACCACTGGTGGCAGCTGAGGCCAGTGGGAGCTATCATCTGTAGGTATTAAACACCAAGTATCTTGGAAAATTAAAGCTCCATACAGATGAGTTTGTCAATACAAAGATTTTAATTATTTCTGATCCTCTTTTTCAAAGATAAGAGAATCACCAGCCACTTGCCCAGCAGACTAGCACACTTTGTGAAGCATCCAAATCCTGGAGGCACCAACCTCACAAGTCCACAAGGAACCCAAGTAACTCCATCTCCAGCAGTGATTGATTTGTATGGTAAATGAAGCAGAGGCCACGTTGGAAGCAATCCTGAATGATGCAGAGGTTGAAAAAATGTGCTAGAAAAGCATCTGATATGAAAATGAAAACTGAAGGTATTTGACTTGGGTATTTTCACTCTGATTTTCAAACTCCAAGTCAGCATATGCATTTTATTTCCCTAGTACATATTTATTTTTACACAGCCAAGCTTTGATTCAAGCTACTTGTGTGCCAACAGACTTTTCTTATGAAGCACCACTTAGATACTATTCAGATGTGACCATGAACAAGGTTAAGTTGCACTACTACACTAACCAATTATGTTGTTTTTAAGTCTGCTAACAAGAAAAAAGAGGTATTTACTACAGCTCTATGCCATCATTTCCTCACACTCAAAAGTTTTCTGAGATGTTTTAAAACAAAAGAAGTTTAAAAAGTACTCAAGCAAAGAAATAGTGAAGCTCTGGCTAACTTCTCTGTCTTTAAAACAGACATACCACAAGGTTCAGAATTCAGGAGCCTTTCGGCTCCTAAAATTAGTAGGTGGTTTTCAAAACCCAGCATTTCCACTGCTGAGCAGGCAGAAACACAGCGCTTACATGCTTAGTTACTGGCTCCTTTTCTTTGGAAACCAGGAACAGGCTGGACAAAAGTTTAATAAATGAGTGGAGAATTTGGTGCTAATAGAAAATGAGACTGGAAAACCTCAAGCAAACAACACCCAGTTACCCAAAAAACAAGCACACGGGGATCAGAAAGCAAATCTCCCATCACCGTCTGTCTCCATACCCCACCCTGGTGTGGGTTCCCAAGAACTCTTCCCCCTAATTTTGCCATTATGGGTCTGACCTACCAAAAAGCCTAGATTCCTAAATGATAGCCTTTTCATGCTGCAGAAAATCCTATAGAACATGTACAAATTCTCCACACAATGCCCAAGAATTTTTGTGTTCTGCTCCTGCACTGACCACAGAGCTGTCAACAGGCTACAACTTTTTGCCTAGATATACTCAGTAGGAAGCCATAGAGATTGCTCTGGGTGCCTCAGTTTACACAAACACTGAAAAAACAGCAAAGAACTTGGGGCCAGGTGACAATCACCCACCTCAACAGTGAGTATGCACCAGTTTGCATGACAAGCATAGCCTTGATCATAAATTAAAACAGCTATTGGAATTACATGTACTGCCAGGGAAAATGGTTAATTAAGCTCCATTATCCAGGCTATGAAGGACTAAAGGTATAATTTATCCTCCTCTCTCAGCCTGTCCAATCACCTGCTTTTCAGGCATGCCAGTTGGGAAGATGATTCCAATGAGGCAGATACTCATCTTCAGATACATCCCCGTGGCTGAATCAACTCATTTCAAACAGACTCCTGCACAATGCACAGGAACAAGTTTCATGGCACTCGAACCAGGGGAAGACACTCCAAAGCCTCCAGCATGAGCTGTCAGAGCTCCTGGATTCCCTGATCCCCACTGCTCAGCCAGCAGCTCTCTGCTGATTCAGCATCCATGCCCACAAATGAGAAACAGACATCGAATTTTAGCAAGTTATGCTTCTCAACTGCTAACTGAAAATTAGTTAAGATACATTGCGTGGTCTTAGGTCAGAGCACTCCTTGAAAGACAAGGAATACAGCTCAACAGAAAAAAATAAGAAAACTGAGTTTCTGCTAAAGCCCCATCTCAACGTCAAACAACTTTAGATCAGATCTAGGGAGTAGAAGTCCTAGAGACCTTATGCAGTCCTTTAAAGTAACTTACTAGCCGCAAAGGTTGACTCTAGAAAGTCACAGTTATCTTTTATCTGGCACCTTTACAGTTGTCAGGCAACACGGTAATGATATGTTTAAAAGAAACAATTAGTGGGGAAAAACTATGACACCCAATTTATGCTGTGCAGCAGAAAGGTGAGCCTTTTCATCTCGGCTCTCTGAGTTACACCAACTTTCAACTTCTGGAGGCATCTTGGTGCCTTAACCACATCTTGAGACCCTCAAATGAAGTCACAGGTGCCTTCCAGGAAAGGATCCTTGGCTAAAGATCCTTGGCTAAATACAGGCTGCACTTCTGTGTAACAAATTGCTGGATGCACATGAACAAAGCTCGGTAACTTGTGACACACAGATCAGACTACAGCTCTTCTTGACTCTTCCTGGTCTTAAGTGTTTCACATTTTACTTTCAGCATACTAAAAATAAAAATAAGGCTACTAGGGTCTCCATCCAATGAAATAGGTCTAATATGGGGAAGAAAAAGCAACAGCCAGTGAATTCTGGAGTTTTGCAGTGACACTGTGTGCAGAAATTAAAAATTACCAGACCAATTTGAGGATATAAACGGTCCTCATGCAAATGATGTCAGCTGCTGTGCCCACACACTGTGTCCACAGCAGAACTCTCTGGGTGAGGGCGTTTACCATTCCCAAGCAAAGGCAGGGCTGAATAATGCAACTGCTGGAGAACCACTGCCCAGACTGAAAAATGAACACATGGCTTCTCACTGTACATGTGTGCAGGTCCAGAATAACTCTAGTAAGAGGCCCAGCTGTAACAACAAAGAGAAAGGACACCGGGTATTTATCAGGAAACTTTCACTATCTCAGTTCTGAGCAGCTATTCTATTTCCATCCAGCAGGTAAATACCTACTGCAGCTTTGTCCATCCTGGATTTTCAGGGCTTTCCACTATCAGCAAGAACAGAAATCTGTGAAAGAAGCAGCCACTGACATTCAAGCAAGAAAGCATCTAAAAACCCAAATCCCTGGTTGGCATGAGCACTCCCAATGTAATCGCTGTTAATTCCTGGGCCAGTGACAACAGTGGTTGAGTCTGATGAAGACTTGTGCAAGCAGAGCTGAAGCATCTGTTAAGCCTGTGATCTTATTCCACACAAAACTTTCTGGCTACTAGGAAGAAGTGGCTTCTATTACTTCTCTGAGCTTCCCACCCAGCAACAACCCACATCTTCATTACCTGCATCCAACCCCCCCAGCGGTGCTGGTTCCCTGCTACCTCAAACATCAGCAGAGTACAGCTAATACTACTTGTTACTCCTTAGGTTTTCTGGCCAGTCATCCAAAAATCTCTCCACAATCTTGTCAACTCGCTTTGCTGTTGCTGCCTAGGAAAATCTCTGCAACCGCTCGCGTTTGGCTGGTTTTCCCCACGGCCATATGGTCCCAACGCCTCTCCCGCCTCTCTGCTCGCCATGAAAGCTTAACTTGTAATTCAGCAAAAACGAGAAGCCCGCATCCCCCCGCGCACGGCTGCTCTGTGGGTTTTTCCAAGAGCTGTAATGAGGAATGTTACACAAACACCTTTAATTAAAGGAATGTTTGTTTAGTGTAATTAAATGCCTAAGGAACACCGCACTGTTGCAACCCCGGATAGTTTTGCAGTGCGTGCTGTACCTTGCGATACTCGAGTGAGAGGGAAATAATGCAAGCGACAACCTAGCAGTAAACACCCAAATATTAAGCAGCGTCCAAGCCATGCTACCCGTTTACCAACACCTACGTGTCAAGAAGAACCAGCACTCCTGTATCAGCTGGAACAGGAGAAAAACTTGAGAAACTCAGTTACAAAAATCCTGAAAAATAGAGAGGAATAAAACCCCAGCCCCAAACTCACAGCGTTTTTAGTCCCATTTCCTGTACTCTCTTCAACTACCTTTCTATCCGAGCAGAAAAGAGGAGTCCTTTGAAGAAGCAGACTTTCGACACCGCTCCCAGAGCGGCACAGGGCTTGTTTTTATGTGACAAAAGTATTCCCCTTCCTTTCCAGCCGCCTCCACGGCGATCCAGCGCACTGCCAGCCCCGAGTGAAACCCAAGTCTCCCGCCTGGCAGGGTGGAGCATTCCCTCCGGGCTGCAGCTCCGCTCCGCTTTTCGCCGAACTGCCGCAACTCACTCCAAGTTTTGGGGCGTTTATTTCGTGAAGACAAAAGGAAGAGAAGCGGCGGGACCCACGGCGGGGGCCGGGGCTAGGCGCGATAGCGGCACTCGAGATGTTTACCGCGACTTCGAGCCCCGGAGCCACGCGGGCGGCGCGGTGCCCTTCCCTTCCCTTCCCTTCCCCGCCTCTCGCCCCTGCACCTCCCTAGGCCGCGTCTCGCCCTCCAGCGCGGCATCCCCCCGGACCCCCGCCCCGCGGGTGGGGCGCGCCCGCCGCGACCCCCGGAGAGCAGGAGGGAGGGCAGGAGGGAGGGCAGGAGCGAGCCCGACCGGAGCCGCCGCCGCGGCGCCGCCGCTCAGCCCCCGCGCAGTCCCCGCGGCGCCGCTCCGCTCCGCGCCGCGCCCTGCCCGGCCATGGGCGCAAGGTCACCGCTCCGGCCGCCGGCCAGGCACCGGCCGCGGCTGGAAAGCCCCTACCTGGCAGCGCCGCCGCCACTATGGCGGGCCGCGCCGGGCCACGCCGCCGCTCGGCACTTCCCACCTCCCGCCGCCGGCGGAGCTGCGGCCGCCTCCCGCCTCCTCCTTCCCGGGTCCCGGCGGCGGCCCCCGGGCCCCGCTTACCGCGGCTCGGGGAGAGGCGGCGCCCGCCGACGGGGAGCCGTGCCCGCGCCGCTCCCGCCGCTGCTGCTGCTGCCGCTGCCGCCGCGGCTGCAACAAAGGACTTCCGCCCCGCCGCGCTGCCGTTGCCGCAGCGCCGGCTCCGCCGCGACCGCACGGAGCCGGACCCCTCCCCTCGGCGGCCGCGGCTCCCGGCGCCGCCGCTGCCAGCGCTGCTGCGCCGCCGCCAATGCCGGGGCCCGGCGGGCGGCTCCCTGCCGCGCTCCGCTCTTCCCGTGCCGCCGGGCATGCCGCCTCGGCCCGGCTCCTCCCCGTCCCCCGGCGGAGCCCCCCGTCCCCCGGCGGGGCAGCGTTAGCTTATCCCACCGGCCGGCGGGCGCCAACCGGGACCCCTCGGCCGGGCTGTGCCGCCTCGCTGCTCTCCCGGCCCCCGCAGTCCGCCCCTTCCCCGCGCACCCGGGCTCGCCGCAGCGAACGGGGAGTCTCCGCGTTCCCCCCGATGCAGCCGTGGCCGGCGCCAGCGGGGAGGCTCCGGTCACCCGTGTGGGTGCCCGGCGATGGAGCGCTGTACCCGCAGCCCCACGGCCCCCGCGTGGGACAGCTCAGCTGCGAGAAAACCACTGCAAAGCTGCGTGAGGAAGTATTTCCTTCTCGCAGCAATTTCGCACGTTAATACCTCCGCCCTCCCTCCTGGAGCTTCACGGTGATGCAGGAGCACAGGGCCGGCAGCCACCGCCACGCTCCGTCACAGATCCCGAGAACAGCGCTCTTTTTCATCCTTCCAGGAGCTGTTCCAGGCCCTCTTCCCACCAGCGTCTGCACCTCTCCTGTCTGACAACATCCAGCTTCTCCGGAACTATCCCATGTGAGTAAGTGGGATTTCCGGCCCCCCTGCTATCTGCCGCAGTTCTGAGAGAAAACATAAGCCAGGTCAGGCTTTCCTCCAGGTCTTGCCACTTGACTTTTCCACCCCTAGAGTGACATTTGTTCTTCAGCACAAGCATTGTAAGTGTTTAATCCGCACAACTCCATCATTCAGTTTCTGGAGATACCATTGTTTTTATGTTGCTGCAACTGAGATCCCTCTTAAGTACCTGACAAGCCAAAGTGACAAACTTAATCATAGCAAAATAAGATATTTTATTACAAAATTGAAAATGGCAAAATTAACAACAACAACAACAAAAAAAAGGCAACAAAATAAAATGTCACAATGTTAAAATGTACCAGCATCCATCCCTGCTTCAGTGACCCTGAAGGTTTTCTGGAGGCATCCCTCCTCTGCGTAAGCAAACAGGACAAACCCAACAATACAATCCTAGTTTCCAAATGGAGGATCAGCCCTTCCTTCTGGGTCTGTCTGGGGATTTTCTAACCACTACAGAATAAAAGCGGAGCTTTAAAAACGTCTTTCAGAATGTGTCTAAAAAATCCCCGTTTCCCCTCTCACTCTGCTTGAGCCTTGTCTCAGGGGTACATAGCAGTGCCAAAGGAAAAAAACCTCTGTGGCTGTAAGACACCAGCTCCCACAGAAGATGGAGGGACCCCCACATTACAGCTACTTTGTAGGTTTTCCTGTTTTATAGGAAGTTAAATAAGAGGTTTTCAAATCGCACTGAAAAGTTGCTTTTCTTATGGTTCAAGAGTCTTTTTCTCCCCACCTCTTTACACACCTCAAGGCAGCACAAGCCAAGAGCACCCATGAGGGGCTTGTGCAGCCTTTTGCTCTGTCCCATGTGCATCACACCAGGAGCTCCTGCCACCTCCAGTGGGGCACAAGGCTGTCCCCCTTTTCTCACCACCCCCATTTTCTTAACTGACCTTCCACCACACTTACCTCTCCTATTTACTATTTTTTTAAAATTATTATTTTCTGAGAGGAGGAGGGAGCAGAAACACCCATGGAGAGAGCTGTGATTATGTCCTGATATTTTTTCTGACCCACCAGCATAGGCTGTGTCACTTTGTATTGGCTGTGAGTGATATCATTGCTTGTGTTTTACAGCAAAACACCAAATTTCATTCCTCACCACTGCTTTCATCAGTTTGGCTCTGGTTTCTCTGAAGCTCTTCAAAGTCCTCTTTGGACCAGAGTCAACCTAAATAACATGTAAATAATTAATCATTTAAATAAATAACATGCCACCTGCAAATAGCGACTCGCTCTGTACGCAGGTTAATAAATATGTTAAATAACCCAAAACAGAGTACAAAACCTTGAGCCACCTACTGCAAACCTCTTTTGGGGAAGAAAAGTGGCTACTAATATTTATAGGAACAGCAGGATTACAGCTCCATGATCTCTCAATTCTGCTGCTGCGCAAACACAGGAGGGAAAGATGGTCCCTGAGTCCTGTGAGCTTTATATTTAAAATTAAAGAAACAAAACATAAGGCAATGGAAAAGATAAAGCTGTGTTGGTAAGTGGGATAAGCAGCAAACACATGGATGAAAATTCTTTGGAGCCTACGGTCTGTCATCTCTCAGCCCATCTTCATCACCCACCCAGGCTCAGGCTGCCTGGAAACAGCCCCCTAAGCTGGTGTTTTCTGGTGGCCAGGGGCATTATTTGCCTTAAATATTGAAGAATTGCAGCTATGGAGATGCAAAAAGAAAATGGACTACAAACTATCAAATGCTGAGAGGGAACCAAGAGGAATGATCCGAGGCACTGAGGATCTTCTGCAGAGGCCCTGAGTCAGCAGAGACGCCATGGAGGAGGTGGGTGTGACAGATCTTGGAAACTGCACCAAAATCATGACAAAAGCACACAAATAGTCATTTTCACTGCCTTTTCCAGCTGGAAAAACAACCTGTAGACATGAAATTAACGTGGTGGCAGCAGGACGCTGTATGGACTGGACGTTTGAACAGGTTCAGAACGCGATCTGGTTACACTGATCGGAAATCCACCTCGGAGGTGGTACTGAGTGCCAGAGCGGAGGGGTCGGGCTCGCCGGGGAGAAGCCCATCCCTGCCCATCCCTGCCCATCCCTGCCCGGGAGGGGCTGCTGGTGGCCGGGCAATCGCGGCCAAGGGTGGCAGTGCCGCCTGTGCCTCCTCCCGTGCCTGGCACCTCAGCCGGCACAGCTGCTCTCCCTAAAATAACCCCGGGTTTAACATCAGCGAGCGACTGCGGGAGGCCTGGCAGAGCAATGGTTCGTCCGCAGGACTCGTGGTGGTGAAAGCAGCACAGAGAGGCTGCCATTGGTGAGGAAGCCAGATCGTATCTTCTCGTCCATTCCCGGCCAGACTGGGGAAGCTCCTTTTTTTTTATTCCTGGAAAAAAAAAAAAAAAAAAAAAACCACAAAAGCAAATCAGCGATTAAGAAGCCGAGCCCCCCCAGCCGAGGCTGATGCCTTTGTCAACGCACGGCAAAACACGCACCCTCCAAAAAAAAACACAAACCCCACGCTCCTTCCCTCCCTCGCACAGGAGCTGCGGGCGAGCAGCGCGGGCAGCGCCGCCCGCAGCCGCGCAGGGGCCGCGCCCACCGCAGCGCCGGGCCGCGCCGGCGTCTCCCGGGAGAAGCCCATCCCTGCCCGTCCCTGCCCGTCCCATCCCGGCCCATCCCTGCCCATCCCTGCCCGTCCCATCCCGGCCCATCCCATCCCGGCCCTGCCCGGCCCTGCCCGGCCCGGCAGGAAGCGCGGGGGGGCAGCGCCCACCCCATCCGCCGGGCGGCAGCGGGGGCGGGCGGCGCGGCGCTTCCGCGGGTGAGCGGCTGCGCGGGCGCGGGGGAGCCGCGGGGCCGGGAGCGGGGGAGGGAAGGGAAGGAGGGAAGGGAAGGAGGGAGGGCAGGGCGCCGGTCCCACGCCGCGGGGAGGCTGCGCTCGCCGCCTCCCGATGCGCGTCGTGTCTCTCCCACCCGCCCCCCCGCAATAATTTTCCGCGGAAACAATAGCAAATATCAGCGTTTATTTGCGCAGGGGCCGCTGGCGGGGCGGGGCGAGGCGAGGGCGGCTCAGCCCGCACAATGGGGGCTTTGTTGGACGCACAGGGCTCCTCTGTGCCGGCGCCGCCGGGCTCTGCCCCGCTCCCCCGCGCTCCCGGGCGGCGGAAAGCACCGTCACATCAGAGGGAAACGCGAGCCGGGTTTAAAGTTAGTGCTGACACCCCGCCGAGCGTAGTTAATCAGCGGGAGAAACATCTCTGAGTGTAGCTGGCAGGTGGGAAAGTCCTCGAGAGGTCTTGAGCTCCTTGGTGGTAGGTTTGAGCACCAGCGGTGGTATCAGGAGAAGCTGTTAAATAGGGGTGCAGGGGCTATCTGGAGGAGGGGAGAGGCTCCATGCCAGGCGTCCATCTCGTTTCGGTGGTGAGAAGTCAACATTTGAGCCTTTGGGAGCTCTCTGATTTCCTAATGCGATGAACATCTTGTTCCCTTGCTCCCAGGCACACCATGGATACCACCGGCCACAGCGTCCTCCTCCTCCAGCAGCTGAACATGCAACGGGAGTTTGGCTTTCTGTGTGACTGCACAGTTGCCATTGGAGATGTTTACTTCAAAGCCCACAGAGCGGTGCTCGCTGCTTTTTCAAACTATTTTAAGATGATATTTATTCATCAGACGAGGTAAGAACACACAGCTCTCCTCTTATCCTTTTACCACTCTCAGCATTCTGCTTTTTCCTCCTTCTAAAAGTATAAAAGTCTGAAATTGAGTATAAATGGGGATGTTAGGTGGCCTGAAATTATTTTTCTAACCCAGCACAGGCCTTGGCTCTCTAAACAATCCCAGTCCAGAAAGCACCGCCCTTTAAAACCACTTTCTTAGTCAGCATATGGCAACATCAGACCCTGCATTTTGGAGATGAGGCATTTGTGTGACCAGATAAATAAAGCGTGTAAGTACCATCATCTTCCTGCAGTGAGAGCCCTGCAGATTTAGAATCCAGGGATATCCTGGTACCTCCTGCCCATGTGCACTATGTCCAGTACTTTGCCTTAGGTTGTTGTCAAGCTTGCTGGGTGAGAATGTCATTTTTGGCAGGATCCACAGGCTTGAAACAATTGCGAAGCTGTGGCCAGTTCTGTGCTTCAGATTCTTGGAGATAAGGGCTGAGACTGAGATCATCAATTGATTTCAAGCTGTTGTTCACATGCTTCACCTGGCCAGGTCAGGAGTGGTTCTGCAGGTATAACAAGAGCAGTGCCATGGTCTGGCCTCTGACCTGGGGCTGGCTGCTTGTGATAGATTAAACATTCTTCATTCCCCTTCCTATCTGAGAGTCGTGGCCTCCAGCACCTCTGCAAGATAATCTTTAGGATCAGCTGCATCGCCCCTTGGCTGGAAGTGAGATGAGTTAACTGCCCTTCCCTGTGGATGTTGTTTGCTGACACTTAAGTGCAATACTCATAAAGATTACACAGTACTGGCAGCTGAACTTCTTACTCAGATAAATGGAGTGGCACACACTAGTGATGCTCAGCCTGCATGGCATCGCTGCGGTGCCGTGCGCTGCAGCTGGCTCTGCACGGGAGGGATGGAGTGGCCAGGGCTGGTCACTTGCACCAGCCTCAGCTGCAACTGTGCACATGGTCTTCAGAATCACAGGGATAAACGCAGACTTAGGCACTTGGCTTTGCATACAAAGCTTCTGCACTTCTGCAGGGCTTGGCAGGGAGTGCTGCTTGTAAAAGTGCTCTCACAGCAAATGGGCAGGTAATGGATCAGGATTTGGAACCCTGTATGTACTTAATCATCTGTTTTGTTTCAGCGAGTGCATAAAAATTCAGCCTACAGACATCCAGCCTGACATATTTAGTTACTTGTTACATATAATGTACACTGGGAAAGGGCCAAAGCAGACTGTCAGCCAGAGCCGGCTGGAGGAAGGCATCCGCTTTCTGCACGCAGACCACCTCTCCCACATCGCCATCGAGATGAACCAGGCCTTCTCCCCAGAGCCGGTCCAGTCCTCCAACCTGTACGGGATCCAGATCTCCACGGCACACAAGCTGGCAAAGGAGCGCCTGGGAGCGAAGGAGAGCCTGCCCAAGGCGGGCGGCCGGTCTGCGGCCCAGGGCGATCACCCCCAGCTGCAGCTGTCCCTGGCCATCGGCCTGGACGACGGCCCCCTGGACCAGCAGGTCGCCCGCCCCTCGGCCCAGCCCGCGGCGCTGGCCAAGCCGGCCGAGGAGCGCCCGAAGCTCTCGGTTTCCATAAAGCAGGAGAGGTGCGACTCGGAGCCCATGGTGTCCCAGAGCTGCACCCCTCCTTCTCCAGAGGTAGCGAGCCCCATCCTTGCCAAGGGCAGCCTCAAGGTGCACTTGTGCCACTACTGCGGGGAGCGCTTCGACTCGCGGGAGGGGCTGCGGCAGCACCTGCACACCCACGTCTCGGGCTCGCTGCCCTTCGGCGTCCCGGCCTCCATCCTGGAGAGCGGCGACCTGGGGGAGGTGCAGCCTCTGGCTGAGGACAGGGAGCCTGGGGATGGCCATCGCCTCGGCGCCTTCCTTCTCAAGGAGGATGAACACCAGCTGGAGCATCCGAGCTGCAGCAACCTGGAGCCTCTGCAGATCGGGCAGCTCTCCCTCATCTCCAAGGACCACGAACCGGTGGAGCTGAACTGTAACTTTTCTTTCTCGAGAAAAAGAAAGGTCAGCTGCAGCGTCTGCGGCCGCACATTTTTCCGGAAAAGCCAGCTGCTGGAGCACATGTACACGCACAGAGGGAAGCAGCACAAGTACAGCCGCTGCCAGCGGCTGGAGAGCCCCAGCACCCCCAGGTTTCACCCTTACTGTGACAGCGAGAATGTGGGTAAGAGCTCCAGCTTGTCCCAGGACCACTTAGATGAATGTATACTGGAGCCAGATCTCATCCAAGAAAGCGTCGATACGATCCTGGTAGAGTAATTCTCCCCCTTCAGATGCTGAAGCTGGATGTTTTGGCATTCTCCACCTAGGGAGTGGCTGCTCTGTGCAGCTGAATTTCTTGAGCCACCGTTCCCCTCACTGCTGAGATAACTGTGAAGGACTGTGTACTTTGACTTGTGTACTTGCTTTTTTTTACTTCTCTAACTTTTAAACTTGAGTTAATTCCCATCTAAGTCATTCTTGGAAGCCTCTGTGTAACTCAGTTATGTTTTTCCTGAATGTGAGCTTATTCCTACTCTCCTTTACTGGAGTAAAGGCTGTATTGCTGGGTGTGAGGTTTAAACATTGTCTAGTAACTCTGTGTGGTGCCTAGGACTGTTTGTATCCCATAGAATTGCTCTTCTGAAACCAGATGGATGGAAGTGTAGAGGGAAATACTTACTGTGTTTCCCAAACAGTTTGTTTATAATGAAAATAAATATCTCAAGGAGATGAATCCTGAAGTTCATGTTGTTCATGTAACTGCAGTTAACAAATCTCTGCATAAATATTTGCAGGAGCCATAAGGCTGCTCTTTTCAAGGGAATTGGCAGTGTTGATGTAGGGGTGGCAACCTTCATTTTGACAAGCCCTGGAGTCCTCATCTGTCTTCTAAATTTACTTTTAAACTCTAGGGATTTGCATGTGTTTTTCCTCCTTCCTACTCCTCCCTCGTTCGCTGCTGCTGCATAAGCAAGGACAGATTTTGATGCCCCCCTAGGACCATGTTCATATTCCACTGTCTTCTCTGCTGGGAGGAAGGAAAGCTGCAAAGGAGTGTCCCCTCTTCTTTGAGAGGAGACATACCCTAACTTAAGTCTGTACAGGATTAAATGCCACGCACGTATTTTCTGAGTGAAAATGATTACTGACTTTATAAACAGCTTGGAGTAAACACATTTTAAAATATTACAATCTGTATATTTGCTCAGAGCAAATACACAGCCTGTTATTTTTTCTCTGTTTGCAGAGGCACTGTGAGATGGTAACATGCAAGTTTTTTGCCTTTCATATAAACATAAAATGGTTTGGGCTGGAAGAGACATTAAAGATGATCTAGTTGCAACCCCCCTACCACAGGCAGGGACACCTTCCACTAGACCAGGTTGTTCAAAGCCCCATCCAGCTTTTCATTTATCATTTCTTGTTATCTGAAGGGCAATATCCAAGAAGGGGTTTAAATTATACCTATGCCTCTTGAATTCATAGTTTGTCCCTTTCTAGTTTTTATCCCAGGCTTCCCACTAGATGGGCTGCAGCCCACCCCTCGGAGATGCTGTTACTCAGAAGGCCATGAAGAGACACACCAAGCTCTTGGAGAGCCAAGGTCTCTTCTGCAGCACAGAGCACAAGCCTCGTGAGCTGCTCCTGTAGTCTCTTTACCCAGATTTTGGGAAGCTGGAGGCTTCCTGCCAGTCCTGATGGAGCCGAGTCATTGCCTTTGGAGGGGGGGGGAGCCTGAACAATGGTGTGAGAAGTTTGCAGTCAGAACGCCTGCTCCAAAGCTCTTTGTAGTCGTGACTCTTGAGCTGTCTTTGATATTGTCCTGGAACAAGAGCTGCAATTTAATCACTGCTGAATTAAAAGACCATCTGAGGTCTTTGTAAGGGTGGTTGTTGCTTCTCCTGGGCAGGGAGCTGCTCACCCCGGGGGATGGATTGGCCACTGAGAGCTGCCAAATTGTGTTTCAAGACAAAGGGGCAAAACAACCAGACCCCGAGCCTGCCAAGATGATGTTGCAAAATGCAGGCTGTGGTCTGGAGTGTGCTTCCCTGCAAGCCCCAGTGCTCCCAGTGATGCGTGTGCCCATTAAAGCTGCTCTGGTGTGAACACTTTTGAACTCCGATTTAAAAGGCGTTCTTTGAAAGAAGCAAACAAACAGAACCCAGCCGACACCCAGGCCTGTGAATGCTGCATCTGAGCACGGAGCCATTCACACAGAGCATTTCCTAGAAGAGAGGCTTCTGCCTCTCTCCCAGCCTAACAGCATCAGCTAAATCACATCCAGCGCAGACTGCTCATAACTGGGCAAACGCCCTCCGGCTTCCACTGACCTCTATTTCTACATGATGGGTTAAAAAAAAGGAAAAAAAGAGGTATTTTATGGTCATCCCCTATTTGTATGTAACACTTACTGAGTGGGCTGGCTTCTCTGGGTGCTGCTTGCTTCCCTCGGCTTTCTGCATTTAATTTAAAAACAGAGAGAAGCGTTTGCTGGGGTGGCTAGAGCTGTAGAAATGAGCTGTAGAGGGACCGAATATCTACTATTCAGTCAGTAGATAAACACCTCAGATTGTCAAATAGGTGCCTAATTTGCCTGAAGTAACTGGTATTGAAAGTCAAAGGGCTCTTGATGTCTCTGCAGAGGTAACAGGGTAGTGGTAACAGAGGTCAGTATTGGGGACAGCAGCAGGGACAGCAGTGCCCAAGACATCTCTGGGACACGCTGCTCATCCTCAGGTGTGTGGGCTGTTCGCTTCTTGCCCATTAAAAAGGGAGCTTTTATAAAAGCTATGATGTCGGGTAAAAGAGCCAAACATCCCTCAGCTGTATGTGCTGTAGGAGTGACTCCATGGCACTGACTGCAAACACACCAGCAAAGCTGAAATGAGACATGAACTAGGTCTGTGTTCATGTCCTGTGGATCCTAGAAAAGATACAACTGTAGATCATTGTTTTCTGTTATCCTCACACCCCCTTTAAAAGGTGTACTTTGGTTAACCTTTGTGGGACTGAACATCTGTGACATCAAACGTCTGCCAAAGGCTATTTTTTTTTTTTTTTGCATCATTTGCAATACAAGAAATGCATTTTCAGCAGTTTTCTACTGCAAGCGTTAAAGCACTGTTATAATCAAAGCAGCAGGAAAAGCTGGAGACAGAAGTCATCAGCTCCGAGTTATGTTAACATAAAAACATAATTCTCTCCAAGTCTTATGAATAGAAAATAATTTTACGGGGCAGTTACATTTGCTAAGCAAGGGCAGCAGCTGCTCCTGGATAAATCATGAGAAGTTTTATTACTGTATGTGGAAGACACTTGAATTACTGAGTGCTTAACCTTTATGCCGGTGCATGCTTGGAAATCTGCCTGACTTGCACAGCTGGGTTTGACAAATACTTATTTCTTGTTGGGGTTTGATTTTTTTTTTTAATAAAAACCTAAAAATTTTGTCACAGTGTGCAGAATATTTATACTAGTGATTCCTTCCAGATATCTGTGATTGGTTAATAGATGCACATGGGCTTAGGCAAAGAAAGCCCTGAGGTGGGAATACTTCAAGGCTGGAAGTCTCAAATCTCTGATACTGCTGGGTCCAACAGCATCTGTGTTTCTCAGGCTTCTTAGAGTGCATTATAGAGTGTGGAGAATCTTGCTTTTGTGCACACTGAGAAAGTTGAACACAGAAGTTAAATTTGCTGTTGGGATGTAAACCTGAAGCAGTGAGTATTACATTTAAAAATAAGGCCAATACATGTAATACTGCTATCATGACATTTAATTTCTTCAGTGTAATGCTGATACTGAATAGTTTTCTGGTATTTTGGAGGCAGAAAGTATTTATCCTCTGTAAGTGAAGCCTTCAGAACTGCAGTGAAAAGTGACTTCAGCATGTGCAATTCAACATCATTGAATGGGACCATGACTATAAGTGGCCAAACTTCATGGCTTATGGAAGGTGCTCCCACAGCAAACAGCCAACAGGTTGTGCCATACCTCTGCCATGATCTTCAGATTCCCTGTTCAATAAAACTCAGTCCCTTCCCTTCTTGTCCAGGATTGCCAAAATGACTGCAACAGAGTGGGCTTCCCAGCAGTCCAGCACTAAGAAAATACATTCTGAGCAATAAGAAATCATGAGGAAAAAGGTAATGAGGATGGATGTGCCCTAAATTACATGCTGGTTAAATATTTGCAATCAGAGCTGTGTCAAGACTGAGCTCCCTGAGATGCAATCGCAGCATCTACGGGATTTGCATGTTTCATTAAGGAAAAGTAATGACACAACTTCAAAAGCAGCCTAGGAGAGGAAATGTTCTCCACCAACTATTCTAAACCAGAGGCTGCACCCTCAGAACAAAGGCAGGGTGAAGCTCTCAGCCTTCTCTGCTGCCCTGGGTTTCACCTGAGTGGAGCTGGCCCTGGGAAGCTTTGGGGGGCTCCGGCAGCCCGTGCCTCGGGGGTACATGCTGGGATGCACAGGGCAGCGCAGCAACGTTTAGTCCGTGTGAATCCTCCTGTTACTGGCACAAACACTGTAGGAAAAAGCTGTCTAAAGCCCTCTGTCCCTCCTGGCAATCGCTGGGATTTGTAACGCGTCGCTTTTCGGACGCAAAGCCAGCTATAGGCGCCGGGGCAGGATAACCAGGGCGGGGTGATGGATGCAGGAAAGCTGGCAGCAGGCAGGCAGGCGGTGGTGCCGGCCACCGGGGCAGGACGCGGCGCTGGGCGGGCGGTCGAGGCTCCGCGTCCCGTTCTGCCCGCAGCCCTGCCGGGAGGGACCCGCTCCGCCTCCGCCGGAGCCCGCAGCCCCCGGAGCCAGCAGGGCAGGCGCCCCAGCCTGTCATTAGGGCCGAGCATCCCCGGCAGGCTGTTCTCCCGATCCGCTTACTCATCGCGCTGATGCTCGGGGTGCGGGCGCGCACCATTCCTGTTGTACCTGTTGCACTCGCCAGCCGGGCCCCAGCCCGCTGCTGCTGCCCGCAGGCTGCCCCACGCACCTCGGGGACGCGCCTCGGCCGCCCCTGCCCTGCTCCAGCTGGGAAATGGAATGCAAATTGTGTTTCAGGCTGTCGGGGCTGCGCCGGAGCCCGACGCCTCCGTGCGGCGCAGTCGGGGAGGTTTGGCAGGCGGGAGCGGCGGGGGCTGCCGGCAGCATCCCGGGATGCGCCGCTCCCCCTTCCCGGGGATGCTCCGCGGAGCCGCGGTCCCTGCTTCCCAGCCGGCTGCCATCTCAGCAGGCTCCCGTCACGCCGAGCTGTCACCGCGCTGAGCCCCGGCACAGCAAATGGTGAGAGCGAGCGTGACGGAGGGACGGGCGCTGGGGCGCAGAGATGACAGCCATCCCTCTCCAGATGGAAATCTGCTCTCAGGGACAAGGGCAAAGTGATGCCTGGTGTGGCCGTGCGCCGGTCAGGAGCCGGCATTGGACAGGCACCTCCCGAAAGGACAGCGGTGCCTGCAGAAGGGCACCTTGAAACGGGGGTGCCACCTCCTCCAGATTAAAGAGGTTTGGAAGGCACATCTCTGCGAGGTCTAGCTTGAGGACTGACAGGGTGACTGCCAGCTCGAGCTGCAGATGATACTTTCATCTTAACAATCTGAATTGCAAAACATGTTTTCTTACCATCTCCCTCCCTTTTGTATCCAGCCTGTTTGACAGTTTTTATATAACAAAACCTACTTTAAAATGCTGGGCTCGGGTATTTTTGCTGAAATCCACTTTTTGCCTAAGTGGACTCTAACCCCACAGCAGAAAAATCCCATCATCTGACACAGAACTGCACTCTTCACAATTCTCTGCAAAAAGAAAGACATGTGAAAGCTGTGCCTCCTAAAAAACATTAACCTATATTGCAGCTTAAATAACTGTAACATCATCTGATTAGGTTTTCTTTAAAGTCACATTTAATGTTAAGATTTTGTCCATTTGAAAATGAAAAGTATTTAATTACTTTAGTACTACCCAACAAGAGCTGACAAGAAACATTTCTCTGGGAAATAAAACTGCAGAGATAAAATCATATTAAAGCAATTATTTAAATCAATCTGTTTCCTTGGAGCAGTTCATTTTGAGTTACTCATGTTGAAAGCTTCTATCTATAACACAGGAAACATTAGGGCTTCACTGCCTGTAAATGGGTTTGGCTTCCATCCATCCATCCATCCATCCATCCATCCATCCATCCATCCATCCATCCATCCATTATCCATCCATCCATCCATCCATCCATCCATCCCAAGTTCAAACCAGGATTCCTGCGTATTTTGTGAATTTATTCAATTTCTTACACACATTTGTGGAAAAAAAAACCCAAACCAAACAACCCAAACCCAACAAAAACAACAACAAAACCCCCCACAACCACATCATCACTTTTCTATATGGTGCATATGAGACTGTCCATGATTTGTGCAGGGATTGCACCTTGGATTCAAACACCAGACTCCTGGCTGCTGTGGGGTCAGTCCTTTGAAGCCTATGGAGCTGCCATGACCTTCAGCAGCTGGAGAGCTGCCCCTGAGCATTTCTAATCCATTTCTGGTGTCCCAGGGCAGGAAAGAAAATGCAATATTTTGTGTCATCATTGTCTACTGGCAGCTTCCACAAGGAACTTTTCAATGGATACACTTGTTTTCTGCTGGGCTCAGTGTTGACTTAACAGAAAAGCTTTTTATCCCCCTAGAAGCCTTTCTGGGTATGAGTTATACTATTTAAACACCCTTTTCTTTGCTGCTAATATAAAAAAGCTGTGGGAGATGAAAATACTTAAAATGACACAGCAAAGCAGGGATAGGGAACTTGCTTGATATAGACCTGAATTGTCCCCACTGAGGAGAGCAATGGAAACATCTGGGACAAAAGCAGCAGCACAGGCTGTGGGGTGAGCAGAAGAATCACTTCCATAATTCAGAGGGCAGCAAGCAATGAATTTCTGGGTAAGGAGCCAGACAGCTCAAAAGCAGGCTGAATAGGGCCATAAAAATGACTGGATATCAGGAAAAAAATCTTCCCTGAGAGGAGTGTCCAGCATTAGAACAGGCTGCCCAAGGCAGTGGTGGAGTCACCAAACCTGGAGGGATTTAAAAAATATATAGATGTGGCACTTGGGGACAGGGTTTAATGGTGGCCTTGGCAGTGTTTGGTGATCTTAGAGGTCTTTTCCAACCTGAATGATCCTGTGATTCTATGATAATTCCAGATTATTTTAGCTGTTGGTGAGGATGATGGTCCTTAAGTCAGGCCACCTTTGGTGCTCTGTCACAGCCATGCAGCCACATCCTCACAGGATCCCTGGCCCAGCACTTTTTCACAATAGTAAATTTATCATTCCTTCTATGAAAGAATAAATGTTTTATTAATGTTCTACTCTCTAATCATAAGGAAGGAGTAGAGAGTCTTAATTAAGTCATTAACAGCTGTTATGAGCCTATATTTTGTTCTGTAAACCTGAAAGAATAGATAGGATTAATACTATTAAAAATTTATAACTCCCTTCCCCCATATTTTGTGTGTTTTAAACTGTGTCAAGAAATTACATGAAGGATATTATTAAAAAACACCAGTTAGGGTGTGGGACCAATTTGATCTGCTCCAGAAAGTGCCAAAGCACCAAATCTGCTGCTCCCCCTCCCAAAATGCCAGCCCCAACCTGAACGCTGTCAGCACCACCCTTGTCAGTCTGCAGAGCCTCAAACATTTCCCTCTGGTGCCACAGGGTATCTAATAGGGAATTTAACCTTGGGGCAGCAGGATGGCTTTTCTTAGCTGCCAGAGATTTGTGACCCTTCACAAATTCCTTACAGCAGTCCCTGGGCAGGCAGGACTCTGCAGTAGAAATGATTGACCCGCAACCGAAAGGAAATGTCATAGAAAGGGCAGAGGGGGAGCAAGCCTCCAAAGAATTTGGATCTGCCACCAACATTAAGATTTCTCTCTGCTCACTGTGTGACTGCCTGAAAAAGCTGGACAAAACAGAGCACCACTGTGAGTTAATCCTTCCACATATAAAATCTCTCCATAGCTGCCCACGCAATCACAAGGCAGGAAAACAACAGGTACATTCAGCTTTAATGAAATAATCATCAGTTCTATGTACAGCTATAACAGAGGGAAAACCAGATACAAGAGAGGATGCAAACCCAACCCCTGACATGGAGCAAGTCACAGGGCCGGGCTGGACTAGGCATTTCTGCCATTCTTCTCCTTTTTTGAAGACATGTTTTGCCTAAAAGGCAATACTGAAATAACACCAAATCCACCCAGAACAGCTTAGCAGACTGACAGAGCATGACAGCCTGGCCCTGTGGGGTAATTTTGTGTTTATTTACTAAAGCTTGGACTTCCTTCTCTGCAGCTGACTCCAGTGGGATCCCACAGCAATGCTGCAGCCCTTTGCTCAGCACCAGCCTGCCACAGTGCCCGGTGTAATTCCATAAGCCTCTCCAAGCATCAGAATGGCTCTTCCCAGGGTGCTGCGACAGCTCCAAAGGTACATCTAAAAGTCCTTTAAAAGTCCCTTTTTCAAAATTATGGCAAAATACCTGGAAGGACCAGTATGAAGTACAAAGCCATTAAAATTGTACACACTGAATTATCAATAGCTGATAACTTAATAAACAAATTCACAGGGAAAAAAATACACTTTTTTTTTTCTTTACCACCCTCTGGGTTTTTTTAAGTTTTACTTGCACAGAGATGAGATGTGGCTGTTGCTGCTCGCAGTCCTCTCATGACATTAAGGAGATGCTTTATCGAGGTTTAAAACATGTTTGTGCACCAGATACGAGGGACAGCCCTTGTATTTTAGCAGGAATCCAAAGTCTGTGCTGGGAAGGGAGATCTCAGCGCATGGTCAGTGAGCAATTACCAAGCGCGGCTGCTATTTCTGTGCCGGCTGAGAACACGCAGGAGAATTCTCTCAGAGGAAAACACACTGCTTTGCCCACAGCTGGACACAAAATGCCAGCCACGCAGATGCAATCCCACATTATTAAAAGGCCCCTTTCTCCCGGGCAGCTGGTAGCTGGAGGTGATGCTCGCACACACGCTGCGGTGCAAACCCCTCGGGACAGGGCAGTTCTCGGGGTCTGACAGCAGTAGGCTTGTCCAGGCATTTCCCAGCCATGTCCTCGGGCCCTCACGTCAGGATTTTTTTTCCCTGAGGACTTCAGGAAGATTGCTCCAGCATTTCAGTGCGTGTTTCAGAGGGAGCTACGTGGCGTGCCAGAGCCTGGTAGCAGCGAGCCGGGCATAATGCACGATTCCCAAGGGATGCCTGGGCTGGATGAAGGCAGGAAGGCTCCTCGGGGAGCGGTGCGGGACAGGCTGCCGCCAGCAGCCGGGGATGCCAGCGGCACTCAGACCAAATCAAAGCCATCCCAGCGCCGGCAGCACATTGCGGCTTCCCAAACTATGCTGACTGCTAACACGCATGCAGCTCACTGCTATTTATATCGCATGCCACGTATAAAAAAAAATATGCTACATCCGAGGAGAGCTTCAGCACGACAGCGGGACGGGGACGGAGGAAGGCGAGGGAGGAGGGGGCTGCCTGGGCAGGGCTGCTCCCGCCCGGCCCGCGCTGCCGCAGGGAATTCCGCCCGCTGCGCTCCGCGGTGCGGGAAAGGCGCCCCGGCAAACGAGGCGCCGCCGCTCTCCTGGCATTCGCGCAGCCCGGGCTCAGCAAGGCGAGGCTGATGCTGAGGTTTGGCGTGTCTGGAGATGCACAGGCTGCTTGTGACAGGGGGAGAGGCCGAGTGATGGAGAGAGCTCGCTGGGAGCCGCCGGCTTCGTGCCACAGCAGTGACTGAGGTTCGCGGTACGCACACAGCCTGGCAGCGATGTTTTCTTGTTAATATTGCAATTTATGTTTTCTTGTTAATATTGCGGACACTTCGCTCTTCCTCATCTGCAATAAAGCCCCAGCAAGCCTCCAGCTGTTTTCAGCGTACCCCGAATCCAGCCCAGCAGCAGGTCGGGCACTCACTGCCTCTCAGGACCTTGCTTCAAACACATGGTATGTACAGATCTACAGCAGGAACAGCGGAGAAACAGGGCACAGGTGACAGCAGGAATGTGGCCTTGACATAAATGTGCCAATAAATGAAAACACAGTCACTGTAACACCTTAATTTTTCCGCAGCTGTGGTCAGTGGCGCTGTCTGAAGCCCCAGGGGACACGCTGCACTCAGCAGGGTCTGCCCACATCCCGGGATCCGTTTCACACAGACACAGCTGAACGGGCATGCAGAATTAACTACACCTCAGCCCCAGGAGCTCTCCGAGTTCTCCACACACCCCGCAGGCCAAATGGAGCTTGAGATCACTCCTGCTGCCCTTTCTCTCTGGGGCAAGGCTGCCATCACAGAAAGCTGTTGTGTTTATTCTGTTCCAGGGCCATTTCGTTGACCAGCTGCTCTATGGATGACTGAATGGCCGCCTTCACAAGGGAAGAGGCGGTTTCTATGAGGAGCAACTCGTACTGCTCCCCAGTTCTGTGCCCCTGGTCACCCAGACCTTTCTCCTCTGCCTGGGGACCGCCACCAGCCTCGGGGCCCTCTTTTTGACCAACATCAGCATTCCTGTTCGATTTTTTATTCCCTTTTTGCTTTTTTTGGTGCAAAACCGGGGACGGCTCATAGGCCTGGTCAGAGTCGGTGTTGTCAGAGTCCTCGGCTTCGGTGATGGTGATGATGATGCTGACACCAGTGCCTGCATTTGCTTCTAGTATCTGATGGCTGGAGCATTCCTGCACACCTGCTGCCTCTTGCACACTTGCCGCATCCTCCACACTTGCTGCCTCCTGCACACTCACTGCCTCCTTCATACCTGCTGCATCCTGGGCACTCACTATCTCCTGCACACTCACTGCCTCCTGCACACTTGTGGCATTCTGCATGCTTGCTGTATCTTCCACACTCACTGCTTCCTGCACACTTGCTGCTTCCTGCGCACTTGCTGCCTCCTGTGCATTCTCTGCATCCTGTACACTCTCTGCATCCTTCACACTCACTGCCTCCTGCACACTCGCTGCCTCCTGCACACACACTGCATCCTTCATGCTTGCTGCATCCTGCTCCTTCATGGCATCCTGCACACTCACTGCATCCTGTACACTTGTGGCATCCTGTACACTCCCTGCATCCTTCACTCTCCCTTCATCCTGTTCACTTGTGGCATCCTGTACACTCCCTGCATCCTTCACACTCCCTGCATCCTGTACACTTGCTGCATCCTGCACACTTCCTGCATCCTTCACACTCCCTGCATCCTGTACACTCCCTGCATCCTTCACACTCTCTGCATCCTGTACACTTGCTGCATCCTGTACACTTGCTGCATCCTTCACACTCTCTGCATCCTGTACACTCACTACATCCTGCACACTCACTACATCCTGCACACTCACTGCATCCTGCACACTTGCAGCATCCTGCACTCTCGCTGCATCCTGCACACTCTCTGCATCCTTCACACTCACTGCATCCTGCACACTTGCAGCATCCTGCACTCTCGCTGCATCCTGCACACTCTCTGCATCCTTCACACTCACAGCATCCTGCATGCTCACTGCATCCTTTGAACTCCCTGCATCCTGCATGCTCACTGCATCCTTTGAACTCCCTGCATCCTGCACACTCCCTGCATCCTGCACACTCCCTGCATCCTGCACACTCCCTGCATCCTGCACACTCGCTGCATCACCTCCAGATACCAGCTCACTGAAACCAGTTACAGTCTCCTCGGCTTTGCACTCCTTAGAAAGATTTATGCTCTTTTCCAGTTCATCCCTTTCAGGCACCTCTTTGCAGGTATTAGGGATTTCCTGCCACTCTGTGATTTCAGGGGCATTATCAGGTTGATCTTTAGAAACAGGCGCTTCGGAAGCAACTTCCCTGCCCTCCACATCGTTGGTGGTTTGGGGCAGACTCCCTTCCTGCAGTTTGTCCTGGGCTGTTTCATTAGCTGTCTCTGAAATGGTTATCTCCAGCTGAACAGTGCACTCCGAGTGTTCTTCTTCTGCCTCACGTGCGGGCTGTGTCAAGGGCTCACTCTTCCCAACAGAGGTGTCACTTTCCTTGGCTGTATGGTTGTCCTCTTTCACTGAATCCTGGTCCTCTTTCATTGTATCTTGGTCCTTCTTCGTTGTATCCTGGTCCTCTTTAAGCTGCTCCTGCTTCACCGTATCCTGCTCCTCCTGTGCAGAGACTGGGCTGAAGGATTCAGATTTGCCTGTCGGGGCCAAATCCTCCGGCTCTTCACTGGCCTTATTCACAATACCCATCACTTCATTTGCTTGAACACTGCCCTCTGACTCCTCCACTGCTTCTGAGGGGCTGGGTTTTTTCCTACCTCTGGAGAACCTCACACAGGGCATCTTGACCCCAGAGCTTGCCCGTTTCTTTGGGAGGTCCTGGGCACAGCTCTCCTCAGCATCCACCTCCAGCTGCACTTGGGAATCAGAGGGCACCTTCTTCCGCGAGGAGGACTTCTGCCTTCTCTGAGGTCTGGCAAGGCTTTTGATGGCTGCCCAGGTTCCTTTGGAGGACCGTGATGGATTGGAAGCTTTCACCTCCTCTTGGTCAGCGCTAACACACTGGCTTTTCTCCTCTGAGGCTCCTTCGCACACATCCTTCCCAGCCAGCCCCTTCTTACCAGACTTCTTCCTCTTCTTAAAGCAGAGCATGGAGGGTTTTTTTGTTTGTTCCTCTGGAGGGGAACATGTGGCTCCTGTGCTGGGAGTCTCTGCCTCTCTTGGGTTCTCCATTTCAATTTCCTTAGCTGCCTTCACCATATTTTTCTTTGTTGGTGTTGTGCTGCTGATTTTCCTGATCAATGCTTCAGACAAAAGGACTGCAGAGATGCTCAAAGTGCATTTTTTTTCTCAAATAGATTTCCAAATAACATTAGTTGCTTTGTAACGAGCGTATGTGGCAGTGAGAAGAAGTTCTGCTGGAGCTGTCGCATCCGCTTTATAACTCCCACTTTGCCTTATTACTCACTTTATCACCTCTCCAAGGAATCCCAGGTAGATGTGCAGTTGAACAGGCTTCTCCTTGGCTTTGCTGGCCTCAGTCACTCTCATCTCTGGAGCAACTCACTTCCAGTTGTGCTTGGTCTAACTGTATAATAGCCAGTCCAACATACCTTTTTTTTCCCCCAAAGGATGACAAATCAAGCCAAGAATTAACAATTTTTATTCACCCCACGGACCTGGAAGGAACTTGCACTTTGTGAGCTCTCTGCAATTCCACATTGCCCAGGGAGCTTGATTAAAGCACAGTGGAACCAGCGGCTGTTTTCTGCCCCCCAGTGACAAGGTCAGATGCTGCTTTGCCTTGGCTTTGGTTTCTGCTTCAGTTCCCCTCAGGTGTTGTATGAAATTTGCTGCAAAGCATGACCGAGGCTTTCATCTTTTTATCTGGAACACAATAAATGACTGATAAGACCCATAGAGAAATTTTTTAAAAGTACTAAAAAGTTTTTCCTCCCTAAACATTTCATTCTGGGAGGCAGACCAGGGCTGGATTCGCTATAGCACGTTTTTTTCACTAATTAGCATCAATATCCAAAGGCAAAATAAGGCCATAAGATGTTCCATCAAGGAACATCAAGGCCAGTGATGTTCCATCACAGAAAGTACTGTTTTGCAATTTGATGTGGAAAAAGGGACTTTTAAAAATATAACTGCCCATATTATGGCAAATACTTATTACACAGGCACACACATATTTCCTTCTCCTACGGCTTGCTAAATCCTTTCCCCACTGCTCCATATGCACTTATAGTTCCAGCTAGGGAAATTACACCCTGAGACAGCAGATATTTTTATCTTTAATGCACCATATGACAATATGCAAAAACAGAGAATACAAAAAGGAGGCTTGAGGAATACAAAAGCGAAATCACATGGCAAGAAGGGAGCTTATTTATACTACGTGCATGCCTCCCATGGCAACCTCAATTAACACCGTGTGTGCTCATCAAAGACATGATGTTGTAAGATGTGTGTCAACCTGAGCGGAAAAAAAAAAAAAGCTGTGCCTAGAAATATCATCAGAACCTTTTGGATGGAACGATACCAAAAGGTGTTACCACAAACAGACCAACTTCTGCAGGACGGGCTCGGGGGCTCCGGGCAAGGCTTTACACGGCATTTCGTGCTCTGCTTTTCAGGAGCAGGGCGATTAAAAGGGGGTTCCGGGGCACGCTTCCCCCGCGGCACATCTGGGCTTTTAAAAAATTATGCTAATTTCAATGAGGCTATTTTAAGGGGAAGCCGAGCGGAGCTGTCGGAGCCGTGCGAGCGCGCACCCGCAGCCGCCGGTGCCCCGAGCGCATCCCGCAGCCCGGCCCCGCCAAGTTTCGGGGGCGTCCGCGGGGGCGCGGCGGGACCCGCCCGGGCACGGGGAGCCCCCCACGGCCGGACCCCGCCGGGGGCAGCGCCCGCGGAGGCGGCGCCGGGACCCGCAGCTGCCGCCGGCCCCGCGGGTCCCCCCGAGGCGGAGCCGCCCCCCGCCGGACCCCCGCGCCCCCCGCGCCTCACCTGCAGCCCGGCCCGGCCCCGCTCCGCTCGGCGCGGCTGCGCTCCGCCGCCGCCTCCGCCGCAGCCGCGCCCCCCGGGCCGGCGGGGAGGGCGCTGCCGGCAGCCCCCCGCCCCCCGCCAGCCCCCGGCCCGCCCCCCGCCCCGGCCGGCACCTGCTCGCCGCCTCCTTCCCCCCGTGGGACAGCATCGCGCCCTGCTCGCCGATCAGCATCGCTTTATCCCGGCGGGGAGCATCCCGCCCGGGGGTGGGATAGCACCGCTCTCCCGGCGGGCAGCGGCGCTGCTGGTGGGGCAGGGTAACCTTCCGTCCCCTCCCAGGCTGTGCACAGCAGCTGCAGACCCGAAAACCACCGGCTTCAGCTCGAGGTGAAGGTGCTCCCAGAAATCGAGCCGCGGTTTGTAGTTGGGAGCACAGTAAGGGAGCCCGGAGCACGCCCCGCGGGGAGGAGGGACCGCTCTGGGTTCCTGGCTTGGTGGGAAGCGAGGGGGGCTTGCGCTTGGCAGCTTTTTTTTTTTTATGTGCCACCTAAAACCTTCACAGCTTTCAGCACTCGCTGTTGGAGGTGCTGCAGGAGCTACACCTTTGGAGGTGGAGATAAGGACAGCCAGCTCTTGGCTTCAAACTAATCCATGCTCAAAACACCAGAGAAAGTGCCTCTTTCATCAGAGCCTTTCTTCTCTCCAAAGCAGCTGAGATCTGCCTTTAAAAAAATCACGTCTCCAGCTGTGATGATTGATGGGAGAGCCTCCAGAAAAAGGACTACCCAGTGGAGCTGATGAACTACAGGAAACTGCAGTCGAGATGCCCGAACGTCCCCATTCATCTCCACGGGGAGCTGACGCCCACAAAGGCTTTACAGACATTAACTGCTTCACAGCATGTTTGCACACGAGAAACTGAGCAAAGCAGCACTCTGAACCTGCAAGTGGCTTCCAGGGTAGGCCAGGCTTAGAAAAACACACATGGCCTCCCCCCTCCTCAGCTTCTTCACGGGAAGAAAGGTACAAAATGGATTAGCTGGGCTGAAATGCCAGCCAGGAGGGCAGAAAAAGTGCATTGAGCATCACAAGGAATTGCCTTTTTAAAAGCTCCCCTCTGAGATGTGTTTGCTCGCATTCACACAGGATAATAAACTTCATTTGGAAACAGCTTCTCTCCTGAGGTGGGTGGTGGGTTCTAATTATGATCCACTGCTTTATGAAAGCCAAGTGAGGCCCTTCAACGCAAGGAGCTTTTCCCTCCTTGCAGCTGGAGACAGGAGGGAGGGAAGCAGACAAGGAGGGTGGTTAACGTGAGGCTGTGGTGTGATGGAGGCAAGCTGCCATGAATCCTCTTGGGAGCACTTTGCATGGAATCCAATTATTCCTGATGCTCCAGGGGCAGATGGCAGCAGCAATGGCCGTGGTGAAAGCGAAATAAAAGGCAAGCAAGGGATCAGGTCAGAAGTTGGGTAAGCTGGACAGAAGATGCTGGCTCAGCTGGATCCTGGTTTTTTTCTGTGGTGCTGGTGACATGCAACAAGTCAACCAGCAACACCTTCTCTTTCTTGTCCCCGGCACTACTTAAAAACACAAACCTGTGTTATTTCTTACAGGATGCGATGCAGTGCTCTCACAACAGCACAGCATGGGGACGGATGGCCATAACTCCAGCTAAGGACCAGGCCCACAAATAGCCCACAGAGAAGAAATTTGTACATAATTAGTTTTTTCTCTAAGCAACAGGAGGAAAAGAAAACCACCGAGTACTTAGCTAGAAGAAATTAAGTGGCCTCTGTGACCTATTTCATAGGACAAGACCTAGCTGGCACCCTTAGCTGCAAGGGAGAGTTATTAAAAAAATAACCTATTTATGTATCCATCCTGCAAGAGAAAAAAAGAGGTTGGAAGCGCAGGTTAGAAAACATTTCCCATTAATCTCTGGAGATGCCTGGGGCTGTTTTTTGGCCCTTATGCTTTGTTGTTGTGCAGCAAACCCTTCAAAAGCTCGTGCCTGATCCGGCGCTGTGCCTCACTGCAGGAGGGGGACTAGCAACCTCTTGAACCATCTCTCTCAAGCACATGGCTATGATCTCATGCTAAACTAAAAGGAGGCTAATCTTAGCATAAATTTGCACTTATCCCATCTTTCATAAGCATAAAATGAAGGTGGAACACAGAGCACTTTGCAGGAAAGCAGTGTAGCAGGGAAAATTAAATGTAGGAACTGACAGCAGGCTTGGCAGCATCCGCTCTGGCACCCGGCTTCCAGGCAAGGCTGGGCCCAGGAGCTGCAGGTGAGGAGGGACCCTCAGCCAGGCTGGGGGGCTGGGCAGCAATGGGGGAACCCCTCCTGACCCCCTGCAAGGGGGCTGAGCCTGCTCTCCTGGCTGCCAGGAAATCCTTGGCTGGGTAACATCAAAAGGAACATCTAAGAGGCTGTGAATGCATCTCAGATTAAAATATTTAAAGTGTTCTGTCTGCTTGTGTCACAGCCAGGTAACTTTCATATAATTATTCTCCCCTCCTGAATAACTGAAGAGATAGAGATTTTTTCTCTCCCTCTACATATACATATATATATATATATTCACACACAGTATCTGTGTACTACAGATGCTCCCCTACGTTGGTGCACACCTACATCCTGATCCTCCCAGTTCTCACCAAATTTGGAATGTTTTCAGATTCAGTTCTGATAGAAGCAGATGGGCCTCACGACTGTTAATTCAGATATTTTGCAGTCAGATGCAAGTATCTCACATTCACAGAATAATTCAGGTAGTTTATTTCCTACAGACAACATACATCATCTAGGGAAGGAAACCAGATTAAAACACACACACACCCTGGTGCATTGCAGGCTACTTATTACTGCAATAATCACTCCTGCTTGTCAATACAATGATTGCTGTTGTGTGTAGGTAATCACAGAAATAAATTCTAATTCAGTAATCTCAGTGCATACATTAAAACCCAAAAAGCACTTGGAAGTATTTGCCAGTTTATTTGTATTAGTTAAAAAATTGGCAGCAATGCCGTCTTCATCTTACAAAATTATTTTTGGCCTGCTGACAAAACCTGCTACAGATCACTTGCACACTATTCATATTGTCTCTATTGATCAAAAAGGTGCCACATGAAACAAGGCCTGTCAGTGGTGTAACTGCACTTAGGGTTGAGCAGGAAATGGTTCAAAGGACACATCTGGCAGAAGCCACAGGTATGGGCCAGAGAGCCAGTCCCTCCAGATCTGCTATCCAGAGCTTTCATTCCTTTGACAGAACACAGTAGCTGCAGCTGGGCTTGGGCTATCTGATGTGGCTGAGGTGCCTGCAGGAACAACTCCCAGCAGAAAGCAGGGTAAGCACTTGTGGAGAGCGCTGGGAAGCCAAGGGGATCCTCCCTGCTCCTCTGGAATGGCACTGGAGCAGTGCCTAGGCACAGCAGGTTCCCCCGTGGTAGGAGAAGAGGAACAGAGGATTCCACGTGGCAAATGGGAAACTGCAGCCAGAAGACTTCTAAAGATAACACATGCTGCAAAACCCCGATGGTTAAGACAATTAAGTCCCAAGATTGTTTCAAACAGCTCCAGCTTTAGGATTTTTAGTAATTAAAATCATGTCACTGAATCAAAAGAGGTCATTAAACCCAAGTTTCTGTATTCTGCTTCAGCTACAATTATGAAGCGGGAGGTCTGTAGAGGAAGATTGCTTTATATGCTCAGTGTCAACTAGCTTGGAACACAGCAGCTTAAAAATTATTACAGATTAAAAGTTACTGGTTGATTCTTCAGCACTCCTCCTTCCAGTCACTTCTTGCACTATATTCTCACTGATATCTTGTTCAGACTTAAGAAAAAAAGATCAGAGCACAGCTCCATTTACATGACTCATCAGGTGTTCTTCTGCGAGCTAAAAACAAAAATAAAACTTAATTACTATTATATAGTACTGCAGGCAACTTTCAGGCTGAATTATAATAAAATGTCATTTGGAAACATATGGCATAATATGGGATTGGCTTAACTCCATCATCTCAAGATCTTTGGAAAAATAAAGTCCAAATATTGAAGGCCTTCAAGAAGGCACCAACCTTTGGGTAATCATTCCTTTCAGAAGAGCCCATTCACTTCTCCTGACACTGGGTCCAGGTCGATATCATAGAAGCAGGGTCTTGTAGGAAGTCCTGGCATAGTGCTCATCTGGACAACAAGAGATAGAATGTTAAAGTGGCAGTGGCAGCATTTTGGGCACAAGATCCAACACTGAAGACTTGGATGGCAATAGCTCCCTGAACACCAACAGACCAGAGAATGATGGTCATGGACTGTGCTGAAGCACCCCATGTGAACTATAAACTCCTGGCTCAGTAGGCAGATATGAAGTTTTTGCTTTTTACAAGGACTAAGTTTGGTTTCTGCACTGCAAGTAACTGAGCCCAAGATTTGGCAAAGTTCTTGGCTATGCAGCTGACCAGTTCACTGTTGTAGGAGTGTTAATGGACTCTGCTGTGATGAGACAATTACTTCTGAAGTTTTCTAAGTACTAAAGTGAAGATACAAATTTTAATACAACTTCACCAGCTGTAACATCTCAGCTGATTACAATTCTTTGAGAATCTAGAACTAGACACGTTAAATAATTAGGAATAATTACTGGAACACACTCAGAAGGGCTGCTCAGAGGCAGAACTGAAGCTCACAAAGCAGCTGCCAGCACTACTGCCTCAGGCCAGTCCTCTGCACTTGTCCCACTGCTGAGAACCCAGTTCCAGGCATGCAGAACACAAGGCTGGCAGGAACTACACCTGGCCTGATTTATTCTTGCAGCTGACAGCATTTCCCCTCCCCTAAGGCAGCACTTAGCCCAGCAGCACACACACAGGCTAAACACAGACTCTACAAGGGTCCGTGACCACGTTTGGAACTTTGTGTCAGTGGTCATTAAGTGCTTTTATAAAAAGGGAGAACTTGAAAGGTCTCATTCTCTATCTGCATCACCCTGCCTCAGCTTTCACAGTCAGTATTGTTATGCCTGTCTCCATTAGATTAAACATCTCTTTGGCAACCTGGTATTTTCTCCTTGAGCAAGTATTTTGCACGCTAATCAAATTATCTCCCCATCTTCCTTTTGATAATAAGCTAAGCAGCAAGAAGGCAAAGCTCTGTTGGTGAAGTCTTTTCTGCAGTTCTCAAAACTGTTCAGGGAGCTTCTGGAGTCCCAGCCCTTTTTCCTTAGCCATTTACAAGTGCTAACACCAGTCCCACGTGTACTGTACCACTGCAAATCTTTCATGGGTTATGCAAAAATAAAAATCACTTAAAGTCTCCTCTTTATAAGGAATTTTGGGGCTGCATTAGCTCTTTATTAGAGCCACTGTCTTCCCAGAGAAGAGGGGGTCACAGAGAGGCTCCCCATTCCTTTGTGCTCAGCTGTATAA